GAGGCGCACCCACGATCGCTCGCGCGGCTGCATTCTGGACAAGCTGAAGTCACCGAATGCTCTTCAAGGGCTGCCCCATGTAGAGCATGTTGCAGCAGACCCATTTGAGACCCATTCCTCCATTTTTTTTAACAGCAGCAGTCCTGTGAGATAGGTTGAGTCAAAGGTCTAAAGTCACTTGGTGAGCTTCCACAACTGGACAGAGAGAAACTAAAAGATCTATATGGCTTTTCCAGTCCTCAGCAACTTCCATCCTCCACCTCAAAACTGTTCAGTTTTGAACTCAAAGAGTTCAGCATTAGCTCTCCATGCAGAAATACTCCATATATTTCCCATCAACCCCTAGATCCATGTCAGTTAGTGAATTTGTAATACTTACTGGAATTTTTAAAGTGCTTTAAAGTGAATTTTTATAACAGTAGACTTCTGGTATTATCAAAGCCCATTTCATCCAGCATACAGTAATAAACGGCGTTTTAGTGCAGGTTTAACAGCCCATGAGTTTTTATTCTTCCCCAAATACATGCTTACTTCATTATTTGTGAATAGGTCGTCTCTCACAGTTCATTACACAGCACAATCTAGGTAAAAATTTCCCTCGAATTATGTTTGTTGGAGCCACAACACACTTAATTCGAGGCAGATGTAACTCATGGATGTAACTTAGAACTCCTTCATCCCACTGGAGGCAACTTTCCAGTTGTTTCTGGAACTTTCCTGGCCAAGGCACAAGGATTAATGTAGAGCCTTCTTGAGACCAGGAGAATTCATTTTAATTGAACATACAGGCTTCCGCTTTTTCACATGCAGCTGTTCCACCAGAATACATGCAACGCTGAAAATAATGGGGTATTCAGACAAAGCAGCTCTTCAGGATCTATCCCTTACCTAGAAAACTTATTCCCCAAAGTTGATTGACAAAGTTGATCCCCAAAAGTTGATTGATTGTTCCCTATCCCCCACTAATTGCATGACTACGATAACGGAGCCTAGCTTCACTTTTATTTGGAACGGAACACCGTAGTCACTCCAGGAAATCTTTAAACCAGTCACCCCAAGTTGCACAACCGGGAGGGGGCTTCTTCCGTTCGCACTTCTACAGGTGAGACGTTCCCGAACCTACGAGCCCCGCCCCTACCTGTCAGCTCCCCGAGGCCACGCCCACGGGCTCGCCCTGGAACTTGTGCACGTGCGTGCGTGCGATCTCGTCGTTCTTATTTGAGAAATGTGGAGAGAGGGGAGGGAAGGAGGGTCGACCCCTACAAGCCTTCGAGCCTGACCCCTCCGCAAACTGAGAGCGACATCCGAGCTCGCCGCTAGCTTGAGACGGGCTCCCCGGACCTCGTTTCGTTGTGGGTTTTTTCCCCCCTTCCTCTCACAAGTTCCCAAGCAGCCGATCGCGCGAGCCAAAGGTTTGCCGGGGCAGAAACTTCCAACCGGCGGCAAACAGCAGCCGCCTCCCTAGCGCGCCACCTTCGCGGCAGCTAACGCGCCGGAGAAAACTTGCCGCCGTCTCACTTCCAACGGAGACCCCTCCACCTCCCCGCCCATCCTCCCCATCCATTCCTCGACGGCCGCGCCGTCCTCCCCCCCCCTTTTTTTTTACCTGCAAGAGACCGTGAGCTCCACTTTGGTGGCCGGGATGCTGCCCGTGAGAGGGTCGAAGTCCTGCACCGACGCCATGTCCTCGAGTTTGTCCAGAACGTCCTCCTCCATGGGAGAGAGCGAGAGCGAGCGAGCGCGGAAGAGCGGCGCCTCTCAACAAGTCGCCGAGCGCGCCGGCTAGCCGGAGAGACCAATCCACCACTGAACCCTAATCGTAGCCCCGGCCCAGCGGGCGGGCGAGCAGACTCTCTCTCTCTCTCCCTGGCTCCCTTGGACTGTAAGCGTTTCTTCGCTCAAGCGCTGCGGTGACCCACGCACCAGCCGGGCGTGAAGCGCTGGCCGCGGCGGCTAGAAGCCGAGCTTGGAGAGCTAATCGGAGGTGGGGCGCGCTCTCCCTCCCTCCCTCCCTCCCTCTCTCTCGCCACGCACGCCGCGATTGGAAAAGGGGGGGAAGCGGGGGCTTTCTTTCCCCTCAAATCCACGGAGGGAGATTTCAGGGAAGCTCCACCTCCTTCAGAATCAAAACGGCCAGCTGGGCGCCTCAGCCCAGCGCTGCTCCTACGGCAAACAGGGGACCCCTCCCCCGCCGGCCCAATCTCTCTCTCACCACCCCCCCCGGGGAACCTGTTTCCCCGCCGCACACCCTTTCTGCGCCAGTGCCCCGGGGAGCGTCAGCCTCGAAGGGCTGCGAAGGAGCCTTCGCAGCCGCTGAAGCGCACGGGGATTTGGATCCGCACTTCTCCAGGGGGCGGAGAGCGAAGGCTCTTTTGTCTCTGGTGCAGGTGCCTGTGGCGTGGCGTCTGGTTTAGGAGTTGCAGCCTTCTCCCAACCGGGGGGCCCCCCGG